CCAGGCCGGCCTTGAACTCACAGAGATCCGCCTGCCTCTGCCTCCTGAGTGCTGGGATTAAAGGCGTGTGCCACCACACCTTTCTTTTTTAAAAACATTTTTGTTTAGTTTTATTTTCTTTGTATGAGTGTTAAGCCTGCATGTATGTAACTGCACCTGTGTCATGCAGTGCCCTGCCCGTGGAGGACAGAAGAGGCTGTCAAATCTCCTGGAGTGGGAGTTATGGACAGTTGTTAGTTGCCATATGGGTGCTGGGATTTGAACCTGGGTCTTCTGCAAAAAACAGCCAGTGTTCTTAACTGTTGAGCCATCTCTCTAGCTCCCAGTCTCTGGGATTATTTAAGCAACACTGAAATTACTCAATTTTGTAGGTTTGGCAAATGGTTCTTTATTTGCATGTCATATGGTAGTTTGACTTTCTGTATTAAATGTTGTCAATTTGCCTTTTTCTCTAAAAGGTCACCTTTTAATTTATTGTGTAAAATTCCTTAGACAATTGAAAAACTGTTTTGTTCAATGGTGACTTCCCTTTTCATTCAAGTTTTCCTATTTGTGTTCCCCCTTTGTTCCTTAAATAAGTTAGCTGCTGGTTTATTTCACCAAGGTTCCCTACCAGGCCAAAGCATCAGCTTCCAAACTTCTTGGTTCTTTTTCTGTTAACTACCTTTTGTTTTTACCTTTACTAATTCCTTCCTCTGATTTCTTTTGGTTTGTTTCCTGATCCAATTTGGAAGATTATGGGTATCATTCTAAAACCATCACTGTGCCGCTGTAACTGCTATGAAGTATTAGGCCCTTCAGGCGTGTCCCTCAGGCTTGTTCTCATGGTCTGTGACGATGTTGATCTATTAACACTGGGGACTGACTACAATTCTGCTCAGTTGCTTTCATTCTTTTTCTTTTCTTTTCCAGGTTTTTAGGATGACGAGGACTCTAGGAAAGCTTTTCCAGCTTCACAGACCTAGGATCCCCCTTTCTATTTTCAGTGATTTAAATGATCCTGTGTGACTATACTTATGCATCTGTGTTTACTGGCCTTCCTTCCCAACATTTATTTTGGCTCTCTCTTTTGTCTCTTATACCTGCCCTGTCCAGTTTGGGTTCTAACTCTAGCAGTCTCTCCCTAGTGCTGCGCTTTGTGAGAGGTATGGAGTGTCAAGCTGGGCTGTCCTAGCATAACCACCACACTTACACTGCTTGATCACTCACCCGCACACTGAGAATGCAGAGCTCTTCCCAGTTTCAGTCTGTATTTTCAGAATGGCTCCACTGCCCACTGCAGTGAGAAAATGTGAGCAATGCCACAGTTCTCCAACTTGCAGGGCATCAGAGTCAGCTGCTTTCTTTCTACTTCCTCCACACGGATGGGAAATCTGTTCTTTTGCTTGTACTCTGAAGCTCACAGGGATACCCTGTCATCTAGTTTTGTAGACAGTGTTGGTATTCTTTTTTCTCTCAAGGGGATATTTTTTAAAAAACTATGCTGCTGCCAGCCAGTATCTTCCATCAGTTTAAAGTCTGTTGAGATCTCTATTGTAGAAAAGACATTTAAAAAATACTTTTATGATGGTACGAAACTATAATCAGGAATTTGCTGTATTCCAGAGGCTATGCTATACATATGTTATCTGCTTTATATGTATTATCTCATTTAATCTTCAATCAACTTAGTGAATTAAATTTTATTGTTTTCCTCATTTTATCAACAGGGGAACTAGGGTCTAAGATCATGCTGCTAAACTGGCAGATCAAGGAATTAAACCCCAAATAAGCTCACTTCAGATGACCTACTCTGTCTATCCAATATTATCAGGCCGAACAGTTTCAAATTCTGATCATTGTTAGCATACTTTACATATGAATTTACTTACAAATAACTATTTAAAACTATAACAGAAACAAGTATTATGGGTCAAATCTAAAAGCCACTATAGATGATAAATACTTCTTCCAGCTCTTCTTTAATAGTACTTCAAGAAAAGGGGAGGTTAGAGAGCAGGAATGGTGTTGAGAAACTCAACTTCTTGTTTCTCTTTTCTCCCTACTGCTAAAGGACAGATTATATGTGAGAAATATTGCCTATAATTTACTTTATTAATAAATTCTTTTCTTAGACACAACTAGGAAAAACTAGGAATAGTTTTTCCAGTTCATAATGGGTCAGTATTTTTTGGTTGGTAAGTTTCTACAAAACATGAACATTCACTGGTCCATAAAGTCTCACATGAAACTTTGCCTCTTAGAGTATATCAGTTAGAATCATTTGGTCATTAATACCTCTTTGCTAATAAATTATTCAAGGAGTTGGAAAATATAAGTTATTTTTATATTACATCTATGAATATATTTAACTATTTTTTTACTTTCTAACAACTGACAGCAATTCAGGGAAAACAATGTGGCCTTTTAAACAGTCCTAGAGCCATTTCACACATGATATTTCAATTCTTAATGTCTAAGAGATAGGAATGTTGTCATTTGCTAAGATTTAAACAGAAACAATGGGAACAGCTCTTGGGAGGATACATTGAAAGCTTTATTCTCTACCACTAGGTGTCTTTTTTTTTTTTTTTTTTTTTTTTTTTGGTCTTTTTGAGACAGGTTCTCTCTGTAGCCACAGCTGGTCTGGATTCACTATGGAGACCAGGCTGGCCTCAAATGCACAGAGATTTGCTTGCCTCTGCCTCCCAAGTGCTGGGATTAAAGGTGTGGGCTACTACACCTGGCTTATTTATTTCTAATTATGTTTTTGTTTGTTCTAGTGCCAGGGATCAAACCCAGGGTAACCAAGGGCCTGTGTGCACTAGCTACACTCCCAGCACTACTTTATTTTTTATTGAAAATAAAGTACAGTTGACTTTACAAACTCAAGTTTAAAAACTAAAGAATACCAACAGGAAATGAATTATGTTTTAGTCATATGCCAGGTTTCCTTTTGGAAGTATTATTTCAGGATATTTCCCTCTAATTTAGGAAATAAATGAAAATGCTATAGTATATAACCAGTTTTGACACTAATAATTTACATTTTATAAGGAAGTCTATAAACTAATAATACAACTTTTCTTTCTACTAACTTAAACCTAGTTCCTCTAGTGAAGAAATGTCCTTCTTGTCACTAAACAATTGATGCAATTTATTGGCAAGTTTATTGTTAACAAGGAATTTTTACATTATCTTCTTTATGGTTAGCTAGTTCATGGAATTAAGACAATAAAAACAATGAATAAGTAAAACCCTAGTTCTCACCATTTAAATGGTTGTACTACCCCTTAGGTAAAAATATAAAAATATAAATGACTATGTGTAACTACACTGCTGAATTTACTTTAGTGGTTCTGTATTTAAAGTTTTCCTGAAATTGAAAACATTAGAAAACTAACATAAGTTGAATATCACTTATTCAAAATGCTTGGAACCAAAAGTAATATTTTAGGATTTAGGTTTATGGTTTTTTTTTTTTTTTCTTTTCAGATTTTGGAATATTTGTATATATACATACCTTACAGATGAGACCCAAGTCTAAACATGAAATAGTTTGTTTCATATACACTTTATACAATTAGTTGAAAGTAGTTTTACATAATATTTATAGTGTCCCTGCAGTTGACTTGTGACCTGTCATGGGGGGTAAGGTGTGAATTTCATTTTTCATTTGTGTTATGTAGGCAATCAAAAAGTTTAGATTTTGGAACATTTCGGATACTGGGTTTTGAATTAGGGATGCTGACCCTGGTTGTCTGAAAATAAAGCAGCTAAATATAATGGTTGCAACACACTGAAAAAAAAGGAAGAAAAAAGAAAATATTCAATGGTTAAAAATAACTCAGTAATAAAAGTACAAGTATAATTTACAGTATCATGAATTCCAGGAAAATAAAACACTGAATGTCTCTTTTTTTTCCTAGATAATGAAGATTGTTTCCTTCCTTTAGCCCTACAAAAGGCAGCCAATGATTTGGATTAAAAAAAAAAAAAAAAAAAAAAAAAACCCATGTACTGGGAGGGAGTCATGTTGGGGGATATGGGAGAATTGGAGGAGGGAAATGGGACATCTAAATAAAGACACACAGCACAAAGCTTTCTCATTCATAATCACAGTTCAAGTACTTTCTCCTTAGTTCTACATAACAGTATCCTTAAAACAATCTTCCTTTAGAAAACTATAGTATTAGTTAAGCCTATTTATTCTTATAAACTTATTAATTTCATTTATATAGGTTATACAAGTCTAGTTGGCACACCATACTTAAGAATAACATAAAACAAGTCATTTAAAAAAAATTATGGGACCATCTGTTTTCAAATAATAGATAAAGCAATTTTGTCTTTTTACCATCAGCAGTCAAGATTTTTAAATGGTCACTAAATGCTCACCTGAAGATTATCAATGCTATATGAAGTGTAAACTTGTTCTGAAGATTTGTGTCCATTTTGTAAGACAGAACTTGTACTGGAGACTTTTAAAAAAGAAAGCCTACATACATACATACATACAATTTGCCTCAAAGAACTTCTTAGAAACCCAGTATAAACATGTAAGAGCCACAGCACTCAAAGATTTTCTTGAAACCTATACAAAGGTTACTGGCTCAAGACCACTTCCCAAAGTGTTAGCAGTATAGGCTTTGATTTTAGGACTCTACCCCTTAAAAAAAAAGCACACCTGGTTATACATGGCTTTTAACCTTGAGCTACAGTTATGCTACAAACCCCCTACTCCAGTCTAAAGTCAGTCAGGTGGAGATGTGGAAATTCTCTGAGCACTGTTTAGAGTCCTTGGTTTTCCAGCTTTGATGGAGATCTCGAAGACGTTCAGAAGTTCGTGTGCTTACATTCAGAGCAGGATGAACTTTGCAAATTCCACTTTCTTCCATTAGTGACAGTCCACAGATTCCAAAGTATGCATGCAAAGCATCTGCAAAGAAGGCATTTAAAAACCAAGATTAGCACTCTAACTTGTACATGCTAGAAAGTATCTACCAGCCCATCATTATATAAACAAATTAGGAAAATGCTAGCCTCTGAAATACTGTCTCAGTCTCAAACATCATTTAAAAAAAAATCAAAATAAAATATTTTAGCTAGATGTGGTAATACAGGCCTTTAATCCCAACAGAGGCAGAGGCAGAGGCAGAGGCAGAGGCAGAGGCAGAGGCAGAGGCAGGGGGCTCTCTGTGTTTGAGGCCCATCTGGTCTATATATCAAGTTCTAGGTCAGCCAGGGCTACACAGTGGGACCCTGTGTCCAAAAAAAAAAAAAAACCCCAAAACACAAAACAAAATCAAATATGTGATTAATGAAATTACTATTAACAAAGGAACACATAATCTTGTTCATATGGTTTTCCTACTCACATTCTCTAAGGATAAGAATAGCAATTAAGGCTGGAGAGATGGCTCAGCAGTTAAGAGCACCAGCTGCTCTTGCAGAGGACCCAAGTTCGGTTCCCAGCACCTACATGGTGGCTAACAACCATCCGTAAGTCCAGTTCCAGGCAATATGATGCCCTCTTACAGCCTCTGAAGGCATTACATGCACACAGTACACTTACATACAAGCAGGTACAACACTCACACACATAAAAATTTTAAAAAAGAATAGCAATAATTTAAAATACCTCAGTTTACTATAATATGCAGAAAGAAATTATATAATAAAGAAAACTTTTTCTTTCATTATAAATTTTTTTTTGTGGTGCTAAGGTTGAACCTGGAGCCTTTCAGATGCTTGGCATGCCCTCTGCCAAGGAGCTATAACCACAATCCTAGACAAAATTTATAAAAAGGAAAACAAGTTAACTTCTGAATCCAAGTAGCAGTATGCCTCGTCTTCCTACCCCAACTTTTGTTCTGACAGTTCCCAAACCATATACAACTACTGTGCTAAGTGAAAGAAATGAAACAGTACATCACGGAACACTGTACACTGCCATACTGAGTTCTATCTCCAGTGATGTCTAGAAATATCTGACTTGACAATAAACATAAATTCACTTTCTATTTGGTTATAGTAATGATCTATGCGCTGGCCCCACTACAGTTTCCCATCTGTAGGGACCTGCAAGCCGCTTCCATTAAAGCAGTAGCTGAAACGATGTGGCCTCTGCTTGCCTGAGAACCTTATATAGAGCTGTGAAGAGCTCAGAATCCTGCAGTTATGGGAACACTACAAAAACAGTTTTACAGCAGCCAAGAATTTTTTTCTATTTTTGAACTGGCCAGCATATATGACCTCAAGGGCTATTAAAAGTTCAAAATACCTTAGCAAGTCAAACTCATCAAGAGTTAAATGGCTCACTTTCCTCCAATTTTCAGACTACAGAAAAATGGATTTGTCCTGTTCCTCAGTTACCCTAAAATCACAACATGAACAAAGCAACATTAATCTTGATTTTTAGAAACCAGGAAACTTTTTGGGGGGGTGGGGGGGGAGAAGAAGGTGCAACAGAAAGGAGTATAATGTAGACCAAGAGCAGCATAAAATTGGATCCAGTGTAAAATCTGAATCTCTCCACCTGGAGCTACTGTTGCCTCAAAAGAATTTTTGCAGAAGACAAAGATTCAAACCACAAAACATTAAGATAAAATAAATAAAACCTCATCTGTAGGTGGTGATATATTAAAATCTTAGACATTGATATATTTGTTATGACAAAACATCACTCCTTTTCAAAGTATTCTCCATAAATGTACATAAACGTCTTCATGTCAAATCTGCTACTAGTCTTACTAAAACCAAGCTAATAAGTTAACTTGAAAACATTTTTGTTCAAGTAACTTTTCTAAAGGTTCTGTGTTTAGACCCTGTCACTTCAGTTCAGTTAACCATACACAAAGACTTTCTGAATTCTCTAGTATATAGGCTCCAAAGACACTGCACCTATAAAAAAGTATTACATCCAAATACTTATAAAAACATTAAAGTGAGCAACTGACGTCTCTAGGAAAAAGCTTCAAGAATTTTCTTTTAAAAACAGAACTGGAAACCTAGGCCTGTTGATGATACACACCTGTAATTCCAGCACTTGGATCAAGGGTTTCAGGTTAACTTGGGCTAAGTAAGCCCCTGTCTCAAAAAACTAAAACCAAACAAAACCCCACTACAGATATACAACCTCATGGTACTAGAAATACTCAAGTATATCTATATAAGAGATACTTTCCAAAAGACTGAAAGTCCCACATTCCCATTATTTGTCAAAACAGTGCCACAGACTGATTGGGGGGTGGGGGGGGGAAGGTACCAACCCCAAATAATTATCAGATTTCCTTTTCCTTTCTTCCTTCCTTTCTTTTTTTCTTTAAGCTGTTAATTCTAGTACTTGGGATGCAGAGGCAGGCAGATCTCTGTGATATTGAGGCCAGCCTGGTCTACATAGTGAGTTCCAGGTCAACTGGGGCTACAGGTCTTTTTGTCTCAAAAAGACCAAAAAAAAAAATATTTATTTATTTATTTTTGTTTTATGCCTATGAGTATTTTGCCAGCATGTATGTAAGTGTACTACATGTGTACAATGCCTGCAGAGGGCAGAAGAGGAAGCTGGATCCCCTGGAATTGGAGTTACAGGTGTTTGTCAGCTGCCATGTGGATGCTGGGAACCAAACCTGGGTCCTCTGCAAGATCAGCAAGTGCTCTTAACCACTAATCCATCTCTCCATCCCATGATGTCTTGAGACACAATTTAAATATATTTATAGCTATGTGTTATATATATCAACAATTTTAAATTATTATTTTGCTTTGGAAATTGATTTGTGAAAAGATACATTTGCTTGTGCCATTGAAAGCATTCTACATTTTCTCCAAGAAAACAAGTTTTACATAAGAAGGTAAAGGAAGACGTAATTATTCTTATTTTAAGCACACAAACATGACTTATGAGTCTCTTCTTTACATTTGACCCAAGTACACACTACAACCATGGCAGTTTTAGCACAGATGAACTGAACAGCACTCTCTAAACGGATAATAACGACTATGATTCTATTACAGTGCTATAACATGTAATTCTATACATCTAGTTGTATATATCAATAGCTAATCCTTTAATATGTTCATCAAACACACCAGTGCCATGAATTAATTAAGCAAACCTTTACATTGATTTTTATAGATTACTTTGCTAGAGTAAACTATAAATGGGGTGAATATAGGCTGGAGAAGGGTGCCAGAGACAGGAGAACTAAACTTTGGGTGACATTTATATGGTCTGGAGCTATTTGGTTCCTGAGTTTTAAGTAACAAATGATAAGAATTTAGAGATTAAAGTAGTTATCTAAAAAAGTTAACCAAATCTGCCAAAATTTAGAGGACAGAGTATAGGCAGCAAGGAACATCTATATTGAGAATGAGGTATTTGTAATAAATAACTTTATAAATAACATATTAGTATATGTTCATTGTACACAGTGATGAATTTCATTAGATATTGTCATTGATGTATATTATTTATTTTGTCCATATTCTCCACTCTATCCCCCCCCCTCCAAAGTAACAGACTCTTTTGCTTCAATGTCATATACATATAAATGATATAGGAGATATTTGTCTAAGCCTAATTTATTTTGCTTACTATGATGATCTCCAGTTGCATCATTTTCCAGCAACAACATAATTTCATTCTTTATGATTAAATAAAACTCGAGTAGGCAAATATACCACATATTCTTTACCATTAATCTGTTGACTGACACTTAGGATGATTCCCTAACCTGGCTACTGAAAATAGTCCTGCAGTAAACATGGTATTCAAGTAGTATGTTGTAAGTTGTTAGTCCTTTGGGCATATACCTGGGAGTGGTATAGCTGGGTCTATTCTTAGTTTCTTGAGGAACCTCCATTCTAATTTCAACAGCGATAGAATAATTTATATTCTCACCACCAGTGTTTAAGGACTCGCTTCTCCTGACACTCTTGCATTTGTTGTTTACTTATTGACAGCCATTCTAACTAGGATGAAATGAAATTTCAAGTTTTAAAATTTATACTTTTTTTTTTTTTTGTCTTTTTGAGACAGGAACTTACTATGTAGACCAGGCTGGCCTGGAACTCACAAAGATCCGCCTGCCTCTGCCTCCCAAGTGCTAGGATTAAAGGCGTACGCCACCACACACACCCGGCTAAAATTTATACTTTTAAATTTAATAGTTCTACATTTCTCTGATGGCTAAGGATGTTGAGCCTTTTTTCATATACTTATTTGCCATTTCTACTTCATCTTTTTTTTTTTTTTTTTTTTTTTTTTTTTTGGACAGGGTCTCCCTAGTTCCAGCCCACCTGGAAGTCACGATGTGGAGATGTGAAGCAGGGTGGCCTCCATCTCAGAGATTTGCCTACCTCTGCCTCCCAAGGGCTGGGATTAAAGTCGAGTACTAGCCACATCCAGTGTTCTATTTCACCTTTTAAGAACTCTGTTCATTTCACAGGTCCCTATTTATGGATTGGGTTGGTTGGGTTTTTGGTATTTAGGTTTCTGAATTTTTTATATAGTCTAGGTATTAATCTTCTGTCAGATGTATAGCTAGTAAAGATTTTTTCCCCATTCTGTGGGCTGTTTCTTCACTAAGCATAGAAGAAACAGTGAACACTGTTGCTTTGCTCCATAGAAGTTTTTTAATTTCATGGGGCCTGGTTCATCAATTCTTGGCATTATTTCCTGAGTGGCTGGGATCTTTATCAGAAAGTCCTATGAGAGCCTATGCCTATACATTTAAGTGTTTTTCCTCTAAGTTTTTCTCTAACAGTTTCAGTGTTTTAGGTTTATGTTAAGTCTTTGATCATTTTGAACTGATTTTTGTGCAGGCTAAGAGAGATGGATTTAGCTTTATTCTTCTACATGTGAATATCCTATTTCCCCCCACAACATTTGTTGAGCATTTGTCTTTTCTTCAATCTATGTTTTCGGCATTTTTGGCAAAAAGCAAGAGACTGTTAGTTGTGTGAGTTTATTTCTGGATTCTTTCTTACATCCCATTAATAACATGTATTTTTAAGATACTATCACCTTTTTGCTCCTACGGCTTTATAGTACAATTGAAATCAGGTGTTGGGATGCTTCTATTACTGTTCTTTTTGCTATATTTTCATATATTTTTTGCTATATTTTCATATGAATTTTTACTATATTTTCTTTTTTGTTATATTTTCATATGAAATTTTTTCTTATTTCTGTAAAGCATATCATTTGGAGTTTTGATGTGAATTGTACTGAATCTGTAGATTGCTTTTGGTAATGATATTAATTTTGCCAATCCATGCAAAAGGGAGGGCTTTCCATCTTCTAGAGTTGCCTTCAGTTTCTTTCTCAAGTGTTTTTAAAGTTTTCTTTTAGAAGACTTTCACTTTCTTTGTTAGGTTTATTCTATGGTGTTTTGTTGTTTTAATGACTAAGACTGTTTTCCCAATTTCTTTCTCAGCATGCCTGTTATTGGTATATAAGAAAACTACTGATTCATGTATATTTATTTTTGATTCTGCTACCTTACTGAAAGAGTTAATAATTAGTTCTAAGAGTTTTCTCTTTAGGGCTCATTCATATCAGATCATATTGTCTGCAAACAAAAAAAAAAATGACTTCTTCCTTTCCTATTTGCATCCTTTTTATTTCTCTTTTCTAACTGCTCTAGCTAAGACTTCAAGGACTATACTGAGAAATGCTCAAAGAAAAAACTCAAGTATAATGGTGGTTAAAGCTGTGTCATGTGCAGCCTTTATTATGTTCAGAGATGTTCCTTTACCATCCTTGCATTCCTAGAATGAAGTCTATTTGATTGTGGTAAATTTTTTTTCATTTATTTTATTTTTTATGTGTATGAGTGTATTGCCTCATGTGTTTAAGTGCACCCATGTAGTGCAATGCCCTCAGAGGTCAGAAGATGGTGTCGGATCCCCTGGAACTGGAGTTACAGACAGTTGTTAGCCACCATGTGGGTGTTCAGAATCGAACCCAGGTCCTTTCCAAGAGTAGTCAGTGCTCTTAACCACTGAGTCATCTCTCTAGTCCCCAATTTTTTTTCTTTAAAACTGTCTCTTTTATGTTAGGTTGGCCTCAAACTCATTGTACAGCCAAAGGCAACCCTGAATTGCTGATCTTCCTGCTTCCACTTTACAAGAGCTAGGATTACAAAAATGCACCATGACACCTAGTTATATGGTACTGGAGATAGGATCCAGGGCATCTTATGTGCTACATAAGCATCCTACCAAGTGAGGTGTATCCCCAGCCCTTTATAATGTGTGGTTGAATTCAGTTCAGGAGATTTTTTTTTTTTTTTTTTTAAACTTAACAATTTCTGAAGAGTAAGAACTTACTTCCCTTTAGGACCCAGTGTCCTGGTTAGCCCTACCAATTTGACATAACCTAAAGTGACTTGTGAAGAGGGTACTTCAACAGAGGAATTACCTAGCTCAGAATGGCCTGTGGGCATGTCTGTGGGGCACTGTTTTGATTGCTAATTGATGTAGAACACTCACAACACTCAAGGTTAGATCAAGTCAGAACTAATAACCCTGATGATTTTAGATGAGCCAATTGACTCCCTGTTTTGGATAGTACCAATTTATAACATCTGCCTTACTAACACATGAGGTAAAACACTGCTAGGTATTTGAGGAAAAAACTATACCAATATATCTTGACAATCCACTACTTCTTTTATACTACTCATACTGTACATCTACCGTAAATATAATTTTTCACTATTTATTTTGGGGGTGTAGGGGGGATGTGCCACAGCACACAGAGGACAGCTTGAGGGATTTGGCTTTCTCCTTCAACCATGTGTATCTTGGGAAATCAAAATAAGGTCATCAGGTTTGGTAGTGACACCTTTACACTAAGCCATCTTGCTGGCCCTTAAACCCAAAATTTTAAAAACGTTATTTAGGCCGGGCATGGTGGCACACACCTTTAATCCCAGCACTCGGGAGGCAGAGGCAGAGGCAGGCAGATCTCTTTGAGTTCAAGGCCAGCCTGGTTTACATAGTGAATTCCAGGACAGCTGGGGCTACAGGGAGACCCTGTTTCAAAAAGACCAAAAAAACACACATTATTTAATGTAACTTTAGAACTGTGACAATATTTTTTATCATACACAATTTCTGATAAAGACACTTAATGATTTAAGTCCTAAAACAAATGTTGCTCTAGATTCATACCCAAAATAATTACCTGGATGACTGTCTGGCCATTTGGCAAAGCCCCCTACAAGGCGATCTTGGGTGGATAAGATATAATTTCTATTCTTCTCAAAGTTGGTGTACTGGAAAATTTTCAGAAGCTGAAATGACAAAAATGAACAGACATAAAACTTCTTATTGGCCTTGGGTTCACATTTCAGGTATGAATCATTCAGGTAGGCTTTGTTCCCCTGTAGCCACAGCTGGCCTGAACCTCACTATGCAGACCAGACTGGCCTTGATCTCAGAGATCTGCCTGCCTCTGCCTCTAGAGTACTGGGATTAAAGGCATGTACTACCTCGCCTGGCTACAGAAAGGCTTTCTTTGGCCTTAGGCTCTCAGAGGAATCTCTGGAGTTTTGAGCACTTAAAATTAGCCAACTACAGGATCTTGTCTATTTTCTTACCAAGCTCATTAGTAGGAAGGCTTAACACTGTCAAATTGTGACTCCTAAAGAAATCTACAGATTCATTAAATAATTACTAAAATTCCAACAGCATTTTTTTTTTTTCCAAGAAATGGGAGTTAATCACTAAACTCATATGAAACTGCCAAGGGCCCCAACAGTCAGAACAACCTTGGAAAAGACGAAGCTGGAAGACTTTAACGCTTCTTTGGTTTGAAGCTTACTACAAAGCTATGTTTATAACACTCTGATACTGTTATATATGTCTGGCACAAGGAAAGACATATATAATAACAGAACAGATGAGAGTCCAGAAATAACCTTTACATATATGGCTAATTGGTTTTTGACAGGGGTACTGTGCTGGATAGCTTTAGTGTCAACTTGACACACCTGGGTTGAGGGAGCCTCCATTGGACTGGCCCCTGGCCATGTCTGTGAGGCATTTTCTTGATTATTGAGTCATGTGGGAGGGCCCAGCCCACTGTGGGTAGTGCCACCCCTGGGTAGGTGGGCCTGTGTTGAATAAGAAAGCAGGCTGAGCAGGGGCCAGGGGAGCAAGCCAGTAAGCAGCGTTCCTTCATGGCCTGTGCTCCAGCTCCTGTTTCCAGGTTCCTGCCCTGAGTTCCTACCTTGGGCTCCCCAATGAACTGTGACCTGGGAGATGTAAGCTGAATAAACCCTTTCCTCCCTAAGTTGGTATTGGTCAGAGTATTTTGTTACAGCAATGAAGAAACAGACTAGGATAGGTACTATGCTGGTTAGTACTATCAACTTGGCAGGATCTAGAATCACCTAGAAAACAAGTCTCTGGGCAAACCTGAGAGATTATGTAGATAAGGTTAAAAGAGCTAAGGAGACCCACCCATTGTGGGTGGCACCATTCCACAGGGTGGGGTCTTAGATGCAATAAAAAGGAGAAAATGAGCTGAGCATTCACTACTGTCTGCCTCCAGATGGATGCAATGTGAGCAGCCACTTCAAGTTCCTGCTGCTGTGACTTCCTATTCCAGTGAATGGGCTCCATTTCCTCCAACTGTATGATCTAGAATCACCTTATGGGCAAATCTCTGGGAATGTCTGTGAGGGATTATCTAGATTGGGTTAACTGAGGTAGAAAGACCCACCCTAAATGTGGGCAGCATTATTTCCCTGGGTTTTGGAATACATAAACAGGAGAAGGGTAGGTGAGCAACAACATACATTGCTTTCTCCTTCTAGACTATGGATGCAATCAACGAGACCAGCTGCCTCCTACTCCTATTGCCACACCTTCTCTACCAGGATGGATTCATCCCTAGAACTGTGAGCCAAAATAAACCTTTCCTTCTTCAAGTTGCTTCTGTCAGGTGTTTTGTCACAGCAATGAGACAGCTAGTATAAGGAGATACCCGGAAAGACAAATTAACAGAGACAGAGAGTAGAACAGTGAATACAAGAAAGAGGCTGGGGGGAGGGGACAATGAGAAGCTGGCTATTTTTCACAGGATCAGTTATGGATAGAACTGCTGGTGATAGTTATATACTATTTGGGATAGTCTTACTACTACTGAAATTACATACAAATGGTTAAGGTGATAAATATTATGCCAAAATTTACCACAATGAAAGACAAGGGAAAAACAAAAAATTGACAGGAACTTTACAATGGAAAAATTAGCTTGGCCAACTTACAGACTTGTGATCAATAAGAGACAGCAGATACTAGGTGTTCCTTGACGCCACACAACAGGAAGTATGCAACATCGCTGAATGGATACGCAATGCTGAAAGCAATTATGGCTCATTTTTCAGTTGTGATACTGATATAAAAGTTCCTTTTTTAAAAGTTATTTTCATATAGAAATGGTGCTGCAAGCAAAACAAAGCATTGCCTTCAAGTTCACACAGTGGAGGGAGCCTGTTTTGGGTTGACCAACATGGAGACTGGCTGATGGACACATGGGGATTCACTGTACCATTCTGTTTTGAATGTTTGAAATTTTTTTGTAGTAAAAAAAATACAGTGTATTTAGAAATGGCATTAGAAATAAACAGGGAGGCTACTGCTTTCATTTTAAACCAGACTCTTTAGTTATTACAACCCTATGTATGAATTTTAAGAGAAAAAGCCCAGAAAATGAAATATAGACTCCTTGTTATATTCCAGAATATCTGAACAAAGGGATGGATCCTTAAGATGACAGACATTTTAAGGCAGAAGAAACATATTTACCAGCTCAACAACTTTTTGTGGCATATTCAGCCAATTAAGTTTAGAAGTTTCAGACAAAACAAACTACTAAAAATAAAATGTATTTTCAGCAAATGCCTTATACTTATCTTTTAAATTCACTAACTTCCCATGTTTACTGGCATCACCATTAGATCGATCCCTATTCTACAAGGTCCATTTTTGGCTTTACACCCACAAAAACATAGTTACTTAACAAGTTCTATGCTATATAAGGTGTAAGCAGGTATAAAATCAAGTTCTGAACCAGGAGTGGTATTGTATGCTTTTAATCCCAACAGAGAGAGGCATGAGGATCTCTTTGAGTTCTAGGCCACCCTGGTCTACATCATACATTTCAGGCCAGCAAAGAATACACAGTGAGACCCTGTCCAAAACAAAAGCAAAACAAAAAACAAAATACAAAAAACAGAGAGAGAGAGAGAGAGAGAGAGAGAGAGAGAGAGAGAGAGAAAGAATCAAGTTCTGAACCACATAAGCTTTTTTGTTGTTGTTATTCTTTTTGAGACAGGGTTTTCCTGCAGCCCTAGCTGGCCTGGAACTTACTATGTAGACCAGGCTGGCCTTGATCTCACAGAGACTGACCTGCCACTGCTTCCTGAATGCTGGGACTAAAGGTGAGTACCATGACACATAAGCTTTTTAAAAACAGAAATTTTCGCTGGGATTGGTGGCTCATGCCTTTAATCCCAGCATTCAGGAAGCAGAGGCAGGCAGATCTCTGTGAGTTCCAGGCCAGCTTGGGCTACAGGGAGACCCTGTCTCAAAGACCAAAAATTAAATAAATAAACTCAAGTAGTGCAAAATTAAAAAAAAAAATCGAGTAACCTAAACTTAATAACACTTAATGCACAACATGACCGAGTCTTTCAGCACAGCTTTGTGAGCAAGGGAAATAGGTTTCTCATTTTTATGACTTCTCTTACCTTTAGAGTTGCTCCCACCCAAAAAGAGTAACAGGTGTCTACTGGCTTGTTAGGTCTTCCGTGATAGCCATTTTGCTGTCTCATTATACACCACCTCTTTATCCTGTTCAGTTCTTTTTCTGAAAAAACTTCTTCCAATTTGCCCATCAGGCACAGTGACGCAATGCCACAAAAAGTGGATCCTCCTGGTTAATCAAAACCACACAATATTATAAACTTCATTTAGATGTCTATGAATGCCTATGAAAGCAGTATCACGTGTTAGGGGGAATGGTAGACGCACAATCCTACAAAACAGTTAAGTAAAATTGAAATGACAACCTCAAAATACTAAACAATGAAGCCTCTCTATGTTAAAAATAAACCTGAACAGAACCTGAAGACACCTTAAAGCTGTAATAAACTTTTTTTTTTGACTTTTTGAGACAGGGTTTCCCTGTAGCTCCAGCTGGCTTGAAACTCAGTATGTAGACCAAGTTGACCCAAACTCACAGAGATCTGCCTGCCTCTGCCTCCCAAGTGCAAACATAATACTTATGAAAAAAAAATACAGCTTGGAACAAGATTAGGGAATTTGTTCCAAAGTCCATGATCAATGCCATTTGGAACTTAGTGAAGTCTCTGTCCAGGACTAGATCCCCCAAGCCTGTTGCCGCCCCCCCCCCCCCCCCCCGGTAGTATCTGTATTCCTTTTTTTAATTTTTAATGTATTAATTCTTTGAGAATTTCAAACAATGTATTTTGATTATATTCACCTCCTCCACCTCTCAAATCCATCCCCACCTCCCATCCTTGTACTCTTAAAACAAATAAAAAAACCCAAGTTCAATTTGTGCTGCTCAAATCCCCTGGAGTGTGGTTGATGCCCCCTGTATCATACCTTAAAGAAAACTGACTCTCCTCCCAGCTGCTATCAATGGCTAATATCTCCTCAGCTAGAGGTGGGGCTTTGTGCCCATCTTCCTGGACCATGATAGCATTTTTGTCAGACTTGAGCTTCTGTAGATCCAAGTCTAATCTTTATTTCATTTATTATTTTTATTTTAAGTGTGAGTGTATTGCCTGCATGTGTGTTAGGCGCACTGTGTTAAGTGCAATGCCCAAGGAGGTCAGAAGAGGGTGTCAGATTCCCCTGGAACTGGAGTTCGGATGGTTGTTAGCTGCCATGTGGGTGCTGGGAATCGAACCCAGGTCCTCTGCAACAGCAGCCAGTGTTCTTAACCTCTGAGCCATCTCTCCAGCCTCCCAAGTCTGACTTTTACCCTTTATATGTATGGGTTCTCCATTCAAGGTGGGAGCTGAGAATCAAAAATATCTGAAAAGCAAAGTGTTTCTGTACCAACAGAAGACCTTTCTTGTTATGGCCCACTAAATATAGTAAAACAGTATTTACATGGTGCTAGATATTATAATCCAAGGTGATTTAAGGTATACAGGAGGAGGCACACAGGTTATACACAAATTCAACTTACTGTTCCCATACTTTACAGATCAGTTTTATGAACTCTTAGTATCTGTAAGACTCTTTGTCTTCTGAAATGTATAATTTAAGGTAGTCAACAAGCTATAGTCAGAGATAAATCATTAAACTAAATACATAAGTATGTAAGTACAATATTTTATATAGAAGCACCACATGAAAAAGATAAATAAATTCAAGGCAACTGAATGTTTAAAGGCTATTAAGGCCAAAGGGATTTAACATTTTTGTTCTGGAATAAGAAGAGATATTTTAGAAGAATCATAGAATCAAATTAATTTACCTGATCTTCCTGTTATGAATCTTGAGACAAAAAAGTAATTTTAGCCCTAGCAAAGTCAGACAGCCCAATTCTTCCAGAGCATAGTAACACTGTACCCTAAAGTTTCTGCCCCTGGAGAATTAGAGGGGTACAGTGAAGCACCACACTTGATCACAGCCTAGGTGGCAACATAGCCTGTTTAGTTTTTCTGGCTAAATACGTATGGGCTAAGCAAAGATGGGAAACAGCAACTGAATGAAGAGAAACAAAACAAAACAAAACAAAAAACCCCCCAAAACCCACAAACTTAAACCCAATATATTTTACATATTTAGATTGGGGAGTTTGGAAGAAAAGCACATGAAAAAAACTAGAATATCATCAAACTGAAACAGACAAACTTCAATTTTCCAGGCAAAGGATACAAAGACGCCCACAAAGGTAGGATGAACAACCTTCCAGAGTTCTTTACTACAGTCACCTTCGGCAGCTGGATGTGCCGGCCCTTCTATATCCTTTGCTAGGTCTGACTTGTCCACATTTCCCAGTGCTTCAGAATGGCTTGTCAGTAACTTTCATCCTCTTAACTACTCCTTTTAGGTTCTTCACCATCCTCTTTCCCAAGTATTAAAATCTTGATTGTCAATTTGATGGGATTTAGAATCACTATGGAAACAAACCTCTGGTCATGCCTGAGGAATTTTCTACTTGAGGTTAACTGAGGTAGGAAGAGCCACCCTACATGTGTGCAGCAACACTCCATGGGCCAGAGACCTGGGCTGAATAAAAGAGAAAGGCTGTTGAGTGCAGGAGATGCTTCCTAACTGCAGACAATTGTGCCAGGCTGCCTCAGACTCCTGTCACCATGCCTTCCCTGCCACGACGGACCATATCCTTGAACTGTGAGCTATAGGATCCCTTCCTTAGGTTGTTTTTGTTAGGCATTTTATTTTGTCCCAGTAACAAACAACTAATTACAAGTGTGTAAAAGCATGTCCCTGTATCAAACTCTTAACTTTATAGTAGTCATAGTGGTTTTTCTTCTCTGACTGAACCTTATTACTTACAAAGAGGCCTATTCTCCAAGAACCTACTGTTAGGATTAAATGAAACTGTAGGTAAAGTATCAAATGGTAGCTAGCACAAAACAGTAGCATGATGAACTAATAATTTTCATGTTAATCCATAGATCTGAGATTACAAATTGGTGACATGTAGGGGACAACTAGTTTAATCAGAAAATTAAAACCAAAGTCAAAAATGAAGATAATGAACATTCAAATTCTGGATTTGCTGGGTACTCTGAAAAATCAATAGAACAGATATAAGTTATTTCATATTCCCATTTAATACTAACAGGCTTGGAAAAAAAGAGGAAAACCATGGTGTTTGTATATGTTGTACGTATGTGTTCATGGATTATGTACACATGTCTGTGTGGGTACTCATGTGCTCCATAGGGCAGAGGTTGACACTGGGTGTCTGTTATTTTTTGACACAAGGCTTCTCACTGAACCAGGAGCTTGCTGACTTGGTTAGGCTGGCTGGGCAACGAGTTCCAGGCATCTATCTCTGCACCTCCAGTACATGCCACCACACCCAACTTTTACAAGAATGTCGGGGGTCCAAATGCAGATCTTTTTGCTCACATGGTAGGTATTTTTCTGAGTCATCTCTCCAGCATCACCACAGTGATTTTATTAGTAATTGAGTGTAGTGCATGCCTGTAATCCCAGTACTAGTGCATGCCTGTAATCCCAGTACTAGTGAGGCTGGGGCAGGAAAAATGAGAGTTTGAGGTCTGCCTGGCTACATAGAAAGAAGACCTTATGTCAAGAAAAGTTAACAGGGTGTGGAGATGGCTCAATGGGCAAAGCACTTATAGTATAAATGTGGGGACCTGAGTTTGTACCTCTGGACCCCACATAAAGCTTCATGTGGTAATCCATGTCTGTAATCCTAGTGTTCCTATAGCAAGATGGGAGGCAGAAAAAGGAGAATCCCTGGAAACTAGCAGACCAGTTGGCCTGGTATACACAGCAACAAACAAGAGACCCTGTCTCAAAGCAGTTAGAAGGTGAAGACCAACACCTGAGGTTGTCCTCCAGTCTCCACATGCCCACTTAAACACATGCAAGTCATACACACACACACATTTTAGAAAATTAAATAAATAAAAGTGGGCACTTTAAGATGCTAAAAAGAGGACAACACGGCTCAGTTTTAGGTGCCATGAACACAGGGATGACTGGTAATTAATTTCTTTACCTATGTAGCAAACGTGACAGGTGTGTATCTTAGTTTGCCTTCCACTGCTGTGAAAAAACACTCTGACCAATACCAACTTGGAGAGGAAAGCGTTTATTTGGCTCACATCTCAAGAGTCACAGTTTATCACTAAGGGAGCACACAGTAGGAACTCAGGGCAGGAACCTGGAGGCAGGAGCTGGGGCACAGGCCATTGAGGACACTGCTTAGTGGCTTGCTCTCCTAGCCCATGCTCAGCCTGCTTTCTTATATAATATAGGCCTACGTGCCCAGGGGTGGCACTACCCACAGTGAGCTGTGTCTTCCCACACCACTCAAAAATCAAGAAAATACCCCACAGACATGGCCACAGGGCAGTCCAATGGAGGCAATTCCCCAACTGAGGCTCCCTCTACCCAGGTGTGTCAAGTTGACAACTAAAGCTATCCAGCAGTGTGGTAGATACATCACTGGATGAAACAGGCAAAATCTATTCTCATGAAGATAAAATTAAGTGGAAATAGATAAACAAATACATGAGTGGGCTGGGAGAGATGGCTCAGTGGTTAAGAGCACTGGCTGCTCTTGCAGAGGGACTTAGGTTTGGTTCCCAGCACCCACATGGCAGCTAACAACCATCTGTAACTCTAGTTCCAGGGGAATCAGATGCCCTCTTCTGACCTCTGTGGGCACTGTATGACACGGGTATACTTATATACATGCAGGCAATACACTCATACATGTAAAAATAATTAAATATTTTTAAAATGTCTTGTGACTTTCACAGGATAATTACATTATGAGGGTAAATAAAAATTTTCATGTTTAGCGGCTGGAGAGATGGTTGAGTGGTTAACAGCATTTGCTGTTCCAGAGGTCCTTGGTATGGCTCCCAGCACTCACATGGTCCAGGGGATCCAATCCCCCTCTTCTGGCCTCCATGGGCACTGTTCACATCTTGTGCACTTATATCAGGCAAAACATTAATACAAAATAAAAATAATTTTTTTTCATGTTCAATACATTCCTTTGGTCTAGCCTTAGTGTTATGTCAAAGAAAATAACTTCTTGTCTTCAAACAACAGACTAAGACACAATACCAAGATATTTTCATGCAGCTAACACTAGAAAACACTCGGGCTTGAATAATCTCTTAATGTCTAGTGACCCGAGAGGTAGGCACAGCAGTGTAAGAGACAGAATCAGGAAAGTGACAAAATATAGTCATTCTATAGTCAAGAATTGAGACAATTAGATAGGGTTTTTATACTGAAGATACCATAATGCTATTAAAAAAAAAAACAAAAAAAAAAACTACACGTAAGTCTAAGTCTTACCATGAGATTCAAGTCCAGCTCCCTGTGCCAGCCCATTATCATAGGACTAAAAAGAAAAACATTGTTTAGTTTAACAGAGAAATAATAACATTAATAATAAATAGCTGCCATTGAGTTAACTTTTTTTGCTCTCTTTTATATCTTCTAAAATAAGCACTTTCCCCAGAAAAGCAAACTAGGTATTTTTAATCTTCATGGTTTCTTATTTACCACATCAAACTGCTAAATGCATTCATAGTGGCACATTCTGAATACTGAGTGTTCAAAGACAGTAGTGCATAATCAATTTCTATCCAATAAAAATCTCCAACCCTTATTCCTCTTTCCTCCAAAGGAATACGCATTCAACGAAAATGCAAGGTTTTTACAGTCATACAACTTTATAGTCATAAAATAAATCCATTCTGAGACACTTTTGCCTTATTGAGGATGAGTGCCTGCCTAACTATCAATATCCCCACACTGTCCAAAATCAAAACAGCAACAGTAACATTTATCAAACTTTTAATTTTTGCAAAGACATTCTTAAACTTCAGGTTATTTGCATACAGAAAAAGCATCAAATCCTAGCAAATCATCTCTGATAAACATTTATGAAGACCGATATTGCTTTGTGAGGAATATTTTTAATTTTATTTATTATTTTTATTCTATATGTATAAGTGTATTGCCTACATGTAAGTGCACCCATGTCATGCAGTGCCTGCGGAGGTCAGAAGAGGGTGTCAGATCCCCTGGAACTAGAGTTATGGACGGTTGTTAGCCACTATGTGAGTGCTGGGAACCAAACACAGGTCCTCTCTAAGAGCAGCCAGTGCTCTTAACCACTGAGCCATCTCTCCAGCCCCTTTGTAAAGAAATATGAGGGAAGAAGAGGGGAGCTACTGTTAGGTTTAAGATTGATTAAAATCACTACCTAAGAGAAAGTCCATTCTAAGAGTGAAAATACAGGCAGTCATGGAATTACCATGGTGTAAAGAATAAAAAATGGTTCAGTAAGCACAGTACGTGAACTGAGCAACTGCACAACGTACAAGTTCTTTAGTTCACAAGCCATTAAATAAATAAAAACTGAGCATCAAGATCAATGACCAAGTATATTATCTTTTCCAGACTTTGCTAATAATTCATTACTGCCTCACTTCAGTCTGGTTATTATTCCTGTGGTCTGCTGTTGCTGAGCAGATCAAGGACAGCCCAGACTGAAAGAGCCAGGGAAAGGGTGTAGGTCAACTCGGCAGTGTTCAAAAGGCATAACTTCTGGAGAAGAAAGTTAAAAATGGAAGACAGGTCATTTAAGCATCAGATAGTAAAGAAAAACTCAAAAGGGTTTTGAAAAACCTAGAGGTCTGAGAAACAAGATTTCTTTTCTGTCAGAAAAAAATCACCGAACATGCAACCCTTTCTCCACCATTGAAAAGGACCACCTATTAAAGAAATCATACGCTGTTGCAATAAAAAGAGGGCAATTGTAAGCTCTAAATGCTTGTAAGAAAAAACAAAATCCACCAAATAAACAGACAAATCTATCTACACAGTAACTGTTAGATGAAAACACAGCAAATGAAATGAAAGTACTTCTTAGTATGGGAAAATCAGCCTGCATCTTCAAGGAACAGCCATAAAAGCAGAAAAAAACTTAATCTAGCACTCTAAACTCAACTGCACATCCTCAAACAAGCATTGGGAATATTAAAAGGATATTAAAAAGTTAACAACAGGGGATCTGGGGAGATGGCTAACTGTAAAGTGCCTGCTTTACAAGCATGAAGAACCGAGTTTGGATCTCCAGAATCCACATAAAAAGCTAAACTCAGTGGCTATAATTAACAGTGGAGTGGGGCTGTCAAGACAGGGAATCCTTGAGGCTTACTGACCAGCCAGCCTAACCTAAGTGATGAACTTTAGGTTCAGTGAGAGACATTGTGTCAGAAAATAAAGGTGGAGAGACTGAAGAAAGATATCCAGTGTCTACCTCAGCCTCTAGACATGTACATACACCTGTACTAACAAGTACATAACACCACGCAAACACACACATATAGAGACAGAGAGAGAGACACACACACACAGACACACGTACACACACACACACACACAGAGGCGAAATGAAAACAGAGCAAGCTGTAGCTGAGCAGCAGAGTGCTTGCTTAGCATGCAAAGGGACCTGGGATTCTAAGCACTGCTCCCACCACCATCAAAAGTGAAAATGCCATATAGAAAGTAGTTAAAATGAAAGATAAGCAAAAGAATATATAAAGTTGAAATACCTAAATCACAAAAAAACAAACACTAAATAGGGCTGAGGATGCAGCTCAGTGGTAGAGTGCTTGCCTAGCATGCAAGCATGCAAAAAAACCTAGGTTCACGCCCACCCCCCAACCCTGGGGATGAGTGGGATAAGACAGGATAAAGGCAAAATAATGGACTAGAACAATGGCCCCCAGGCTAAATCTGGCCAGGAGCCCAGAAATGTATAAACTTTGAGTGAAGAAAACAATCAGTCCCTCTCATTTAAAAGTACATTTTTTTAAGGGAAATAAAATACATACATGTCTTCTCATCAAACAGAAACACAGGAATGCTAAACCTTAAGTTAGTGAGAATGTTACCTCTAGTGAGTAAGACAGTAGTTAAGAAGGGGTGGAAGACAGGAAGGCAGTAGGTTATACTTCTTTCTATTATTATTATTTTTGGATAGTTCTGATATTCACAACCAGGTTAATGTTTCACACATTAAGTAACAAAATTCAACAACTTTTTTGTGTAGATGGGGAGTCTATGGAATGAATGTCTAAAACAGGAATTCAAACAAATAAATAAATCTAATGGTATTTCAAATAAATAGCTTTTTTAAATTTTTTTTTTTTTTTTTTGTCTTTTTGAGACAGGGTCTCCCTGTAGCCCTAGCTGTCCTGGAACTCACTATGCAGACCAGGCTGGCCTTGAACTCACAGAGATCCGCCTGCCTCTGCCTCCCAAGTGCTGAGACTACAGGCATGCACCACCATGCCCGGCTTATAAATAGCTTTCTTAAAGAGGGAAAATAGGGCTGGAGAGATGGCTCAGTGGTTAGGAGCACTGAGTACTCTTACAGAAGATGTTTGATTCCCAGCACCCACATGATGGCTAGCAACTGTTTGTAACTACAGTTCCAGGGGATCTGAAACCCTCTTCTGGCCTCCTGGACATTGCACGATACGGGGGCACTTACACACATGTGGCAATACACTCATACACATAAAATAAAAATTAATAAATAAGGTAATTTTTTAAAAAGAGGGAAAATAAATGGACCCTGTAGTATTAGATGAATAATTAAGAGTATTTGTACAGACTCTTTTTTTTTTTTAAGAAACAAGACAGGGTCTCCCATAGCCCCAGCTGGCCTAGAACTCAGTGTGTATACCAGGCTAGCCTTGTGATCTCACAAAGATCCATCTGCCTCTGCCTACCTCATGCTGTGATTAAGGCTTGCACCACCACGCCTGGTATCAAACTCAGGATTTTTAATATATAGACTAATAAAAACACACAGAAACATAAGCTGAGTTTGCATATGTATCAGGGGATAATCTATGCATGCTGATAAGAAAGTGTCTAGAAGCTACGATGTCCCAATATTAATACGCACACTTAGAACCCGATCCCTGTTTCCAAATGGCATCCTTCAATCAGGACCTGGGCTCCTTGAAGAAATGACTGATTTCAGGCCCGAGCCTAGGAAAAGTAAAAGCTGAACCTCAAGTATCTTGTAGCAGAAATCAAGAAAGTCCTCAAGAATGAAGGGTACTGAGCCTGACTGAAAATGTCCTCACTGGCCCAATCTGAGCATTAAAATATATAGTGTTCTAGTTTCATCTCTGTTGCTATGACAAAACACTCTGTTCAAAAGCAACTCAGAGGAGAAAATATTTTATTTTAGCTTACATGTTATAATCCATCACTGAGGGAAGTCAGGGCAGGAACTTAAGAAAGACCTTGAAGCAGAAAAGCAATGGTGCCACCCAGTAGGCTGGGCCCTCCTTTATCAATTAATAATCAAGACGGTCCCCCACAGGCCAATCTGATCTGGGAAATCCTCAGTCAAGACTTCCTTCTCAGATGATTCTAGGCTCAGTCAAGTTGACTGTTAAATCTACCAAAGGCAACACGATGGTAAAAGACTACAATCTATTGAATAAAGAATCCAGAGTCCATAGTAATATGAATAAGTGAAGAAATAAAGGCAGATAAAAAGTTTTTTCTAAGAGAATTTCTACTGATATTATTGTAGGATAAATATCAGGGCTGGAAACTCATCAGTGCATAATAAAACATAAATGGGGGGTGGGGAGGTGGCTCCATGGTTAACAGCACTTGCTGCTCTTGCAAAGGACCTGGGTTCAGTTACCAGTAGCAAAATGGTAGCTTACATCATCCTTAACTATAGTTCTAGGGGATTTGTTGCCCTCATCTGGTCTCTGTGGGCACTGTATACATGTGCTGCACATATACACAAGGAGACAAATAGTCAATACACATAAAATAATAAAACAAATCCTAAAAAAATTAAAATAAAGGTAAGGCATGGTGGCACACACCTTTAAATCCAGCACTCAGGAAGCAGAGGCAGGTAGTTCTCTGTGAGATCGAAGCCAGCCTGATCTACATAGTGAGTTTCAGGTCAGCTGGGCTACAGGGAGACCATGTCTCAAAACGGATGAGATAAAGGCTATTCCATTTCCATATATTTCATCATTAAATGCTTAATAATTATGAAAAGAAAAATGCTAGCTTTACAGACAAAAGTAGTATTTACCACTTAAGTCAAGTGAGCAGGAACAGGGAAAATTAATGTGGATCATCCAACCTCCTAACATGCTCCTTTCCTTTACCACTCCCCTCTAATCCCCCAATTCCCCCTTCTTCCTCCACCCTCCCTCCTTTGAACTCTACCTCAGTCCTGAGAGCTTGCTACATATTACAGATATAAACTCAGCTCATATCTCTTTTCCTTTTAAAAATCTCCAAGGTCTCTTTTTTTCTCAATTCACAAGCCCTTTAAAACCTCTGCACTATAAATTCAACAAAATCTGATGCATAGTTACAGTCAATTAAAAAACAATTCCATTCCTCTAGGAACAGACAGACTTTCATTTTGCAATAGTAAAATACTAGCTAAAGTGGAAATTACTAGCTTTGGCAATCTTAATCTATAAAAGCACAAACTTCATAGTGGGGAAGTAATAAACCTGGTAAACAGCACTTCAAAATATATTTCTCTAGGTTTATAGATAAGATGAAGACTTAGCTGAGACTAAGTTTTCCTTACCACTACTAAGAAAAAGAATGAACGACACTGTGTGAAAGCAACATTTCTAATTACTGTCTTTAAAATAAACCTAAAATTAAGAAAACACCCAAGAGTATTACATTTTAACCGTCAAGGAGTTCATTTGCTCTCAGATTTCTACGTGGTGTTCTGAGACACATCAATCTTATTGCCTTTACCTTCAAACCCTGGGGGAGGAGACAAGGCATACACTATATACTGTAGCCCTAATACACCAGCAATAACAACCTAACCAGGTTAATTTTATGAACTTACCATACTTCTCCTAATATAGCTGATGGCTTTCTTCACATCCATGCCTGACCAGTTGTTGAGCATGTAGCATATGCAGGAAGCGCAGTACACAAATCTCATGTCATTCTCACTGCCTTCAGGAACTGCACAGAAACTGAAAAGCACAGTAGCAGGATTTTGCATTAACACTGGACTCTTACCTCAAGGAAATCGGAACATATGCTTTGTATCTTTACTTAGAGAAACATCTACTATTGATTTAAAAACCATATTCTACTCCCACTCTATATTAGGACTATTAACTTGAGTAATAAATGACTTTTAAATCACCTCTCAGACGCAAAGTTCTGAGTCCTGGTCGTTATTTTACACTAAGATTATTCTGCTAAGATGCTACTATGTAGAGTCCATTACTTACTCCCAAAGAGGGAAGCTGTGACAGGGTAGCTTTCAATTAATGGCAGAAAAAGTAGCAAGGAAAACCTCACAACATGAGATAGTAAGAAATTCCTAAGCCCATGTTTATTTTGTGAAATTTCTTCTAAATGTGTAAATACAAATAACTATCAACGATCAATCCTATTATGCTTTGTTATCTATTTAGTTTTTAAGTGGTAATAGGGGTTACATATTTATATCTTTACAAAAAAAGAGACAGAAACAGGCATCAAGTATTTTCCAGACCTTAATGCTCAGAACATATCCAAATGACAATTTCTTCTACAAGTCTGCATCAATTTTTCCCTCACCAAGAGCAGTTGTGAAAACACTGACAAGAAAATGAAGATCCTACCGTGTACAGCAAAGCCACAGCAGGCCCTCTGTGGTCTTCTCCATAGACAGAGTCACCATTACTTTACCTCTTTACTAATTTTTAATCATCACCTAAACTCCCAAGTCTTCATACACAATGCACAAACCACAAAGCATCGCTGACATTAGCCTTTTGCTATCATGTAAATGTCACTACCACTATGCAATGTATATAATATTTAACATTGAACAAAAGTTCAAACTAAAGTTTATTCCAAATAGTATTTGTCTAGAAGGATAAATTAAAAATGCAGAGTTATGCTATTATAAAGTTATTAAAAAATAGATTACTTTTTCCATTAAGCATTTAACTATACATACAATAAACTTTATGTGGTTCCTTTCCTTTATATTACTGGGGCTCAAACCCAGGATCTTGCAATGCTACTTAAGCACTTTCTCTTGAGCTATATTTCCAGTCTAGGTAGTTCTAATATTTTAATTTTTTATTTATTTATATTTTGTGTGTAAGTACAATGACTGTGGAGGCCAAAAGAGGGCACCTAATGCCCTGGAACTGGAGTTGCAGACATGTGAGTGCTGGGAACTGAACCCCTGCTCTCTGCCAAGAGTAGCAATGCTCTTAATCATGGAGCCATCTCTCCAGCCCCGAGGTGGTTCTAACATAAGAATACAATCCTCTAAAGATCTACTGTGGTATTATATACAGTTTTTTAGTTCCAAAGTACTTTTTACTTGAACAAAGCAGTAACAGTGAATGATTCATACCTCCCATCTTCCAGCTGAAGTGCTCTTAAGCCTGCTAAGCAAGCTTCTTTATTTACTCGGCTTAAGTCATCTCCAAGAATAATTAAACAGGAAAGGCCAGTGTAGGTCATTGCTATATGTCCACTATCATAAGGATGAGCTGTTCCAGGATTCTAAATTAAAAATTAATATCATGTTAAATTAATAGATTGAAATTTGGGGCTGGGTGTGGTGGATCATGCCTTTAAGTCAGCACTCAGCAGAGGTAGGCAGATCTCTCATAAGTTTGAGGTCAGCCTGGTCTACATAGCAAGTTCCAGGCTAGGCAAGACAATATAACGACACCCTGTCTCAGAAACAACAACAACAAATAATTGAAACCTTAAAACTTACTTCATGAACTAGTTTGGTATGTGGTTTAAAGAAATGCTGCTTATACCAATTTTTACAGACATCCAATTGAAGTAAAACAAGCATTACACAAGAATGACTTATGATACTAGGAAGTTATACACTAAGGTTTTGGTTAGAATAGACTTCTATAATCACTGTGAGATTAAACCCTTGGTCTATTTACTGCCTTGCTTTTTTTTTTTTTTTCCTCACCTGGGAAAAAGGAGATATTAGTACCTCACAGGGTTATTGTGAGGATTAAATAACCCTAAAAATACGTCCTCTTAATGATGTAAGGACAAAGCCAAGTGCTAAATGGGTTTTCAAATACCAGCTCCTTAATCCCATGATTTTCTTACACACTGACCTGTGTTTCCTCACTGAGTAAATCTGCACAACATTCGATACCCTTTAACTCTGAACCTACCCACAAGTGAACCTTTACATACACTTCTTTTATTATCTCACAAAAACACCAAACCAATTTTCATCTTGACACCTTTCATTCTAAATTCCTCCTTAGAACTCAACCTCTAATTCTCTTGGCTACTCTTTCTTTCACATTTATAATAAATAGGCTTCTTGGAACACCTATAACATATTTCAGTTTGGGGTATTTAAACTAAACACCTGCTACATGGTAGCAGAATGGTAGAGAATTCAAACATGATTAAATAAGAACCTTAACATTTAAGGGCAGAAGAGACAAAGAGACATCTGATCACATAACTACAATATAAAATAGACTGTTCAAGTTGTCATGAAGGTAATATAGTAATTAAAAAAGAAGCTATTTTACTTATATACTATACCAGAAAACCTTTGTCTTCAGATTTTCTAGTGCTCGTTTCTCTCATAAACTCTATGCTTCCACCCTCTACGACAATCTCTTGAAGGCCTATGTGATTACACTTGGAGTCTCTAGTTCCTGTTACCACAGAAATTCAGATGATGGTAACACATGGAGTTGAGACTTGGCTCCTCAGAGGATGGTAGGGTTCAAGTCAATCAAGGGCTAAAAATGGGTTTCATAAGAATCTGAACCAAGGGCAAAAACTTAATTCTTAAGGGATACTTTAATTCTTGGTATTTTAAAAATGTATAAGGAATCAGGTGCAGTGGTACATACTATAGTGCCAGCTACTTGGTAGGCTTGAGTGCAGGATTTTAGGCAATATGGCAAGACTGTCTCTTAACCACTGAGCCATCTCTCCAGCCCTAGGCCACTTTTTAAACAAATGATGAAAGGGGCTAGGGATGTGGCTCACTGGTAGAGCCTGGAATGCTAGAGGCCCCGAGTGCCAAATCCATCACTGCAAAAAGAAAGAAAGAAAAAACAAAAGATAAAACTTTTCTCCACTTTCTACTGGTAATTTTGTGCACAAATGGAATGCCTACAACACTTGCTCTGGGCCTGTTTCTTTCAAGAAAAAGCCTTCAGTTTGTTAGGACTTTTTACACTGGCATGGCTGTTTGAAAAGACTGCTATAGAAGTCATTAATCATTCTCTGGGGCTTCAGTCCTGGCCTGGAAAATAGCTTTCTCTTTCATTACTAAGAAATGAGAACTGAGTGAAGTCCTTCTGTAACACAGGAAGAGAAAGCAAGTGTGAAAGTACTTGAATGCTTTATTTCCAATTTCTCCAGGAAATCAATAACAACTTTTAGACACATACAAAGGCAGCAATAATAAGAGATAATTTTCCATAGCAACGGAAATATATATGCATATATATGTACAAATCTTCCAGAAATGGGACTAAAGGTTTCCTTTAAGATATTTCTGTTTATAGTTTACATTATCAGATAGTATCCAGCATACTGAAATCTAGAAAGCTGGTTCTTTTCTAAATAATATCGTCATTTTCTTTCTCATTAAAATCTCCTTTCTTCCACCTTCTGACCCAAAGATAACTAACCTTGGATGGATTGAATGGAATACCCAGGTATGAAGAGCCTCGGAAACCACAGCGATTTAGATTTGATCCTAGGAAACAAAACATGCTTATTTAAAATACACTATTTTTGTACAGACACTAAGACAGTTTAGATACGCAATCTTTCAGAAATAGAGTAGTTTAGCAGCAATGCTCCATCTCCTTTGTATGTACTGTGTATGCACATGAGTATGAGGGTACATGTACTTGTGAGTGCTCTCTATTTTTTGAGACAGGGTCTCTCAGTGAAACTAAAGCTCACTGCTTCAGCTAGGCTGACTGGCCAGTGAGCTCCTAGGATTCACCTGTTTCCACCATCCAAGAGCTTGGGTTAGAGGCATGCACAGCCATGCTTGGCTTTTACATGGGTGCTAGGGATCTGAACTGATGTCCTCTTGCTTTCCCAGAAAGTGCACTTATCCAATGAGCTCCTTTTTCTCCATTCTTATGCTAGATAATGTTGAATGTTCACCAGAAAACAGAAGCCCAGAGGCAACACATTCAAGATAACAGTTAACACAACAGGGTTAAGAATCCTACTTTCCCATCTAGTGTCTGTTACCTTTACTCACTTGCTTCTTGATGTATGAGTAAGCTAAAGGTGTAAACTGTTCTGAAGTCACAGAGTATTTTAGTATTAGATAGACTTTGTTCTAAGTTCTTGGCTTGGAAATATGCAGAATACTGTAAGGGGTTTATTATAAATTATATTATTATTTATGGTTTATTATAGCTATTAGAAAAACAGCACAAAAAATGTCAGAAATAAAAACCTATTGAGTTGATTTAAAAACAGGCTTTGATGTCATGAACTCTCAGACTTATTATGACTGGCATATTACCAAATCACATTCTGCTTCTTCAAAGTAAGCACTGTACTAAGCCTTTTATCCCTTGATATTCTTAGAGTAGTAGCTTATACATTCTTTGAAGAACTTGGGAACTACTAAATTAAAAGTTTCCCACAAATCATTTTCTTCCTATTGGTAACAAATTTAGTGATGATGGCTTTCTTATCTTTGCTAAAGACTTAAATTGCTAAGTTATTCAAGATTTTCCAAAGAATAACCAAATCATAAAACTACTCCATATCCTCTAAGTAAAATGTATCTGAGAATGACTTCAATACATTCAAATAAGAGAAAGGTCATATGCACCGAAATATCTACTGTAGTGTAATGGAGAAAATACATTATACTGATTAAAAAAGTAATTATTGGGGGCAGGAGAGATGGCTCAGTGGTTAAGAGCACTGGCTGCTCTTACAGAGGTCCTGGATTCAGTTCCCAGCACTCACATGGTGGCTAAAAAAACATATGCAACTCCAGTTCCAGGGGTTCAGATTCTCTCTCTGTCCTCCACAGGCATTGCACATGGGTGTACTTACATACATGCAGGCCAAACACTCATGCACATAAAAAAAAAATTTAAAATTAGCAAAATTAATAGTAACACATGAATCTGTATCTGAACAAGAAAAAAGAGACACAGAAATATGTGCATTATTTATAATTAACAGAGACTAGAATAGACAAAATCACAATTGTGTGGGATGCTAGCAATAAAGATTTTTGTCCTCTGTTTTAGTCACTGTTGACAAACAATCACCACAAATGTAGGACCTTAAGAAACTTACCATCTCATTATTTCAGATCAGAAGTCCAACACACGACTCACAGGTTAAAACCGAAGTGTTGGCAGGGCCACATTAGTTATTGGAGGCTCTATAGGAACAATCTGCCTCTAAGCTCGTTCATGTTGTTGGCAGAATGAAGTTTCTGGTAACTGTGGGACTGGTGTCTCAGTTTCTTTGCTGGCTATTGGCTAGGAACTCTCCTTGGCTCCTAAAGCCTCTCTTGTACAAAAGAGAAAGAGCCATATATGACACTCAAAACCCTTTTTATACCAGAGAGCCAGTTACAGCACTCAAATCCTTTCATCATTAGTCTCCTTCTGGCTTTCTCTTTTCTGCTCTCTTTCATTACATTTTCTATGACTGGCCTTCTGCTGTTCATATGATTATACTGAGTCCATATACACAGGTGGTAGTGGTGTGTGTGTGTGTATCACTTATGGGTAATCTGCATTTTAAGATCAGGTGATCAGTATAACCTTAACAGTTATCTGTAAAGTCCCACAGCAGCACCTGATGTCTGACTGAAAAATGAAAGAACAGGAATCTCTGGGGTGGGTTCAACAGAAATGAACACCCCTCCCCCCAGCTGGATACCTTTACCCTTTCATCATCACTTTGACTCACTTTCAGCATGGGTAAGAAGCAGTGTCAAAATGAGTATTTCCTTATATAATGTGAACTTTGAATATTATTTTCCTCTTCTCTCTCCCCTTTTAAAGGGTAGTCTTCTAAGCTATCAACTGCTGATATTTCTCTGTAAGAATCACATTTCTACAAAAGAAAGCTCTAACTCCATCTTTTGAATTTGGGTCTATACTCTCTTTAGGAAGCCCTTACTCATTTCCCTGATACAGGCAGGTGTATAGTATGGGCTCAATAAAATGTTTGTTTCTAATTAAAATATAATTTCCTTATAGATAGGTGAATAATGGCATTCGTTTGCTTGTTTTTAAGTTTTAGCTGGGTTAAATTAATAACTTTTCAGGGTTGGAGAGATGGCTCATCAGTTAAGAGCATTGACTGCTCTTGCAGGGGACCCAGGTTCAATTCCCAGCACACACTTGGCAGCTAACAACCAACCGTAACTCCAGTTCCAGGGGATGTGATGCCCTCCATGGGCACTGCACAAAATGGGTGCACCTGCCTACATGCAGGCAATGTACTCTTATACATAAAAGTAAAATATAACTTCTCTGAGAAGCAGTAGTAGAAATACTGATGCTCAAAAATAGTACAATAAAGTTAGGAGACTTGGGCATGGACATGTGGAATCAAACTCAATATGTTATTCTTCCTGGAACTGTGCTCTATAGGCAAGTAACACCTGAGTCAGTTTCTTCTGTCTATCTATCTGAGATAGGATCTCATCTAACTTAGGCTGGCTTTGAACTTGCTATGCACCAAGGTCTTGAACTCCTGATCCTCCTGTCCCTACTTCTGTGATAAGATCACAGACATGACCACCATGCCTAGTGAAGTTTCTTCACTTCCCAACTACGAACAGTAACATTTTGCAGCAGTACGTTGCAGGGTTCTTATAACGTGGTTAGGTTGTTCTTTAGCACAGTAACCAAGGCTTAGAAACAGTAACTATTTAAACCCTCCAATTATACATTATCAAAAGTGAAATAGGAAGAAATTTAAAGTTTTTGGTAATTTTTCAAGAAAATTTCTTTTAAAATAGTGTCCTTTTTCATTAAGGAGAGTGCACACTGTCACATGAAAAATCCATTTACAATCCTTTTTAAAAAATATATTTTATTTATTATTTTTATTATGTGTATGAATGTAATACCTACATGTAGGTAGGTGCACCCCTGTTGTACAATGCTCGAGGAGGTCAGAAGGTGTCAGATCCCTTGGAATGGGAGTTATGAATGGTTGTCAGCTGTCATGTGGGTGTTGGTAATTGAATCTGGGTTCTCTCCAAGAGCAGCCAGTGCTCTTAACCACTGAGTCATCGCTCCAGCCCCCCCATTTACAATCTTAAGAGTCAGTCACAGGATATGGAAGACAACATAGTATTTCCTGCCCTCTTCTGAACTATGTCCACTACTGAAGCTAGATTAAAAACAAAACAAAACAAAACAACAAAACGTTTATTTCAGAATGAACAACAGCAAGAAAAAAGATCTTAATGTTGTGTATGGAAAGTTTACTAACATTAAACTTAGGACCCTGGAAAAACTACTCATTAATAAACTGATTATCAACCATACACCAGTTTTTAAAATGCTGTTCATTAAGAGAACATTTTCAGCACTTCTAAGTTCATTAATAGTACTCTTCTAGTTTTTGTCAAGACTTGTCTGCTATTGGTATTTCCTTTATAATTCTAGAAGCTTACTATTTCATTATATTCAAGGATAAATACAACTTATTCCAAATTTACAAGTATACTCCAGGTTAAGTTTAAGCTTCTTTGAAGGTTATTAACAGCACCACCTAGTAGCATCACCTATTTAGCATCAGCAAAACAAACGGGAAGTTCTTTGCATAGTCTGCCCACCAGAATCAGTTGCAGAACTCGGCAAAATAGAGATACTTCTTGGGTCCTATCCCAAGCCTATTTAAAGCCATGAATGTGGTGCCTGGATACTCAGGCTTTAAGTTAAAACAATTTGATGACTGGATCTTCTACTTTTAGAGCCATGAAGACGACCTAGTTTATATTACAATGGAAATAGTTTAGATTATAACAGATCAGAAGAATCCAAGTAAATTAAGAAAAATAAAAATTGAGTAGATGAAGGAAGCAGTAAACATGAAAATTTAATTACTTATGTAACACACATACGTATGTTTACGATTGAGTATGGAGGGTTTTTTTTTGGGGGGGGGTGTCTTTTTGAGTCAGGGTCTCCCTGTATCCCCAGCTGGGCTGGAACTCAGAGACCCACCTGTGTCTGCCTCCCAAGTGCTGGGATTAAAGGCATGCTCCATCATGTCCAGCCTGAATGTAGGGGTTTTATCAAATCAGAGAGCATACTTAGGGTGTCTGCTTATAGAGTAAACTAACTTTTGCCTGATAATTGGTAGTATCTCACTAAGTTCAAAATACACACCAATTACATGACAAGCAAAAGTACATTTAGATAGCCTTAAAAAACAAGTGTTGAGCTGGTAATGGTGGCATACACCTTTAATCCCAGCAAACAGAAGGCAGAGGCAGATGGAGTTCTGTGAAGTCGAGGCCAGCCTGGTCAACACAGCAAGTTCTAAACCTGCTGGGACTATAGGGGAGACACTGTCTCAAAAACAAAAAAAAAAAAACAAATTGGGGGGTGGAGGGATAAGATTGATTAAGGGCACTGACTGCTCTTGCAGAGGACCTGGGTTTGATTTCCAGTACCCACACAGCGGCTACAAACCATCCTTAACTCCAGTTCTAGGGGAATCCAAAGCCCTCTTCTG